AATGAAGAAAAAAAACACCATGTAATGAGATTTCCACGCTGGCCAAAATAAACACCCTGGAGTGTGGCGGCAGTGACCCGACCGAGAGGACAGACATCCGAGAAAGGAAGGGGGAAAGAAATCATCGCAGCGTACCTCTCCATGTTCTTGTGCAAGATTCATCTCATTCTGCACATTTGGTGAGTGGTGGAGCAAGCCCCAAGCTTGGCACGTGTAAGCAGGCAGGTTTTTTTATTTTTGTATTTTTGGGAAGATAGCTTTATTTCCAGTAATTATAAACCAGAGACCAGGAAAACCTCCACATGACAACCCAGGGGGAAAACTGGGGCCAATACCCGGCTAGGTTTATGCTGTGATGAACCACTTTCGGAGATCACGCGACTTTCTGCGCAAAGCTACTTGGGGGAATGCGACGGGTCGAAGGGGTGAGCTGTCGAAAGATGAGTCGAGCGGGCTAGCTGCATGGATGCCCTCATTTCTTTTCGTTTTCTATTGGAAGTTGTCGGATCGGTGAGGGTAAGATCCCGTACCAACGGTTTGGTGGTCGCGCCATGACGGGCGCGAGAAATACTGTACCGTGGTTTCTTTCTTGTTCTGTTGTGAGCACTGAGGATTTTTGGCGCGGTCATCGCGAGGGAATGTCATTTTTGAATTTTCAATTAATGGGCTCACGGAATTGTTTTTCTTTCTGCATTTTCAGAATTTCTCTTTGCAATTAGGACTTAGGATAGGAATTTAGGTACTCTGAATTTTGTTGCACCGCGTTTGCGCGCATCTTGCTGCGCTAGGAACTGGGCTCTGACTAGGTCGGGCCCTTAATCTTGTGTAACTGCCGTTTTTGGCGGGCGCGATTGCAACTGTATCTTTCTCCTTTCTTGGGTTCCCTCGTGTTTACCCGCCTTCTCCTTCTTCCTCGCCACGCATACTCTGTTCTAATTGGTCGAAGCGCCTGCATGACCGGATCGATGCGTGGAGTGTGGCTACGACCCCCACGATGCGCCCTGGCCATGCAGATGTGTAGGCACTTCCTCTTTTCTCCTCTTATCCGCCTGGGCTTAATCACCTTTCGCACAGGTATGCATGCTATAAATTTCGCAAGCGCGATTAGTTCTCTCTAAGAATTCCGAGGTTCGCACGATCAGTGAGGGTCATCTATTGAGCAAGTTGAAAGGTGAGTGAGTGTGAGATTTGGGTGATCCGACGAGCTGGTGTCGGATGTGCAGGGTTGACGTGCGGGGCCACAACGGACTGTGGCGCACGGGCAAACCTGGCTTGCATGCTCAAACCAAGCGGGGTGACAACTCTGTGTTGATGCTACGGACTGCCCGCATCGAGAGAGAGAGAGAGAGAGAGAGAGAGAGAGAGAGAGAGAGAGAGAGAGAGAGAGAACAGTCGTGTGGGTGTGGGATAAAGTCCTCTTCGTTGTTTGCTTCTTTTCCTCGGTTCCTCTGTATAATTTTGAATTCGGATATGGTCGATTTTATCGTGGCCTTCTTTTTGGACTTCTTTCTTAAATCGTCTCAAATTTTCCTCGTTGTTTGTATTTTGTATGTATGCATGGAATGAATGCGAGTCCCCTTTAATAGCGCTCTTTTCCGGATTTCAAATCTTGTTTGCGATGTTCGTTTCGACTCTGTCTGCTGCTCATTTGCGTGGGTCATGCGCTCAATTATGGACATATGTATGTTATGTGATGATCTGATCTCACCCGATGCCGCAGGGATAAGACATCTGCATGCATGTTGAATGCGATCGACCCGCTGAGCCTCCCCGCTGTTTCCCACGTGCACGCTCGCGACCTCGAGGAAACCGAGTCGCTACGTAGGCGCTCGCCCGGGTGCGTCAGCCCGGAGCTCCGAATGAGAATGCAGGGAACGAACTTTCTGAACAGACATGGCTGCGGAATTTCCCTCTTGGATGTCTGATCGCGAAAGTTGTGGGACCCG